TAAATGGAACCATCGTATAAGAGCATAATTTGCAAGCAGAACAAGAGAATTCCCTGCGAATTACACTCGGTTTATATAAAATAAATTAAATTGTTCCCTAAATTATGTTCGTTAACCGTTTCACTAATGGGGCTCACATTGTTTGTACTGACCAAATGATGGCTCATTCCCGGCGGCGCCCACTACACACAAAATTTTCTATTATCTTTGGTTAGTAATTCATATTTTGAAAAATGAGGATTTCAATAAGTTCTATAATATTTTGTGTCACCCCTTTGTGAAATGAATTGTCTTGACACTCTTGTCATTCTGTTTTCTGCAATTAATCACAGTTTCGATCAGATTTACTTTTAGCATGGAATCTGCCGATGTCGCTGATGAGGGTATTCACGAACCAGATGACAGCTTTGAGTTGGAACTGCCTATACCTTTTGCTGCAGTGACGCAGTCGATTAAACCATCAGAGAGTAATTTGAAGCAAAATCATAGTTCAACGGACGAGGACATAGACAGAGAATTTGAGGAAAGATCAAAAAAATCTCGAAGAAATCAATGACAATAGTTGACGAACTCAGTTTTAAAGTGACCCAATTCCCTATTTAAAAAAGAATGGCCAAAAATTCAAAAGTACGCACATTTCGACCATGAACTCCTTTTTGGGTATATGGTCAAAAAAAATGCAACAAAATTCACTTTTATTCAATTCGATCCAAAACACTACAAACGTAAGTATGAGTTAGTAATATAACGAAGAAGGCACAAATGTAATAGGCGAAGCAGGTGACGAAAAGTGCCTAATGGAGAGATGCAATGAGAAGTGAGAGAAGGAGCCCAAGAGTACCAAAATATCTCACTCAATTGGTGCTCATTTGGCCTCTTATTTAACCTTCTCCTCCTTCACTAGGAATTCATATTTTCCAGATGGGAGTGATAATGCTCAATGCAGACTGGAATAAATTGGCTTATTGGAATGCTCCCTCTCATGCTCCCCATTGGCCTCATGTTCCTCCTTCCCTTCATGCACTTTCTTCACCTCATGGTTTTTCTTCCCCACTGCCACGTCCAAATTCTTTGTATGCATTAGCATATTGAAGTGCTCCTCCATCGAAGTATGCATGCTTTTGCCCATCATCTCCTCATGGGCCATCATTTCCTCATGCGCCTTTTGGGCCGCCTCATGCACCTTCTTCGCATTTGGACTGCCCGACTTGTGGGGGGCTGCCACCACTGTGGATGCACAAAGTGCCATGACAGCAAGAACTCCGAAGAGGTAGAGAAGGAGGAGAGTCGACGTCTTCTTCACTGTGAACTCGAACTTCACTTGTTGGCAGAGCATTGTGTCGAGGCCTATTTATACCTGTTTGCCACATCATACTTCACTAGTACTTTAACAGTTGGCGAATCAAGTTGAAGAGGATTAGTTCAAATCTCTATGTACTTATTGCATATGGCGTATGCCCACACCAGCACCACACAGCACATAATACATGACCCCCTACATTTGAGTTCACGCATTTTCACAATCCATGGAAATTCAATATAATGGAGATCATAGCCACTTCAATATCTTCCTGTAGACAAATTAACATGTAATAGCAACCTTCAACAGTTAAATTGGCTCCAATGACCTCGAAGCACCTTAATCATATGTGATCGAAATTTAAAGTAAATCTTGATAACAATGATAAGGTATTAATGTTGACACAACGGAATTATTTTTAAGTTAGTGAGTGATTAGGGATTTTTGTATGTTTGTTTCTCATGAACTGAGATGATGGTCTCTATTCAATTTCACTTTAAATTTATAAATGTAATGCAATTGTAGGATTTGAGGGCCAAACATGTTTGCCTCATGCAAGCACCTACAAATAGCTATAGATGAGTCTGCTCGCTTTTCTACTTAGTGGGAACATAAGGTTGGATGGTCAGAATCCCTTGATGTGACCAAATGACAGAGTAATTATTATAACTGTCAATTCATCAATGACATTCATCACAATTTATCCTCATGTAACAACATACCATATACCCTTATTCTCATGGAGAATCTTTCTCACAGGTGTTAAGGACTTCTGTTTTGTCGTGACCACCGAAAACTACTATTTCATGAACGTCAGTAAGTGGAGAAGGAAACACTCTACACTGGGTCATCCATTTCGTCTCCTTCACCACACCATTGCAGGGATTAACCTTTAAAGCACTAGAACAAGTGATCCCTTTCTCCCTCCTACATCCAATCACAGAAATACATTCTAAGATGAAGGAGAGATGAGAGTAAGACTTGAGTGATGTTGTCACAAAAGTGAGTAATGAAATGACAATTTACCATCTCAAGTAAATCGTGCTGCCGTCCTTTTTGTAAGGAAACTTAAATTCCACCTCAGCGCCCTTAATCTTTATTAAAATAGATAGAAAGCCTGACTCAAATTATCGATCGATGACCTGATACCCTGCCAATCGTCTTTTGACTAGAGATTTAGAAAGGCAAACATTGAGGTTGTTCATGTCAATTACGACAATGTGTTAACCAATCAGATAACCATTTTGTCGAAGTCAGTTGAGGCATTCTGTGTGAATCGAATGCAACTTAAAAGCATAGGAAGTAAAGTTAATGCTTTCACGCCTCATCTCTACTCAACGAGTTGAGCGTTAACAAAGGAGCTCAAGACAAGCCATACTGCGTTTGCACTACGTGAGTGCGTCACTCATACCTCTCTCCTCAATTTGATAGGCCAGTTTAATATTGCGCATCCCAAGGTTGATGCGAATTTACAAATTGCGTGTTAGTACCTGATGAAACACGCCAAGTGGAATGATGACTGCAGAACCGCATCTTGGCATACAAAACAGTAGAAATGCTTGCTAAGAGCATTAATGAATACCCCTTTCAGTCCAATGTCTAGTTGCACTCATTTCATTGAAAATGTCATTACAAGAGCAATACAAAAAACTGACTATTACAATGTTTACGACATTCATTATTTCTAATTCACCACTTTCCTTTACACCAAGTTCAAGAATCAGTATTTTTGGACTGAAATCCTGTTCACGAATCGCTTACCTTTAACACGAATTCGATTTACTTAATGAAAGCTCACACTATAGTAAATTGACATATTTCCTACATTAATTTATAGTTTTATTTTTCAAAGTGATAGTTTAAGTAATGAATTCAATTTCAAAACAATCTTGGATTTTAATGTGCTCTTTAAACGTGATCAATTTTCTGTGGTATATATATGCACATAATATTTTTACTTAACGAGGCAATACATTAGTGGCTTAATCAAATGTCTTCCAAATGAACATTAAATAATATTGCATTGGGTGTGAAAGGCAGATATGTCATTGCGAGAACAATGACCTTCATATTGAATTTTATGTCAAACTAGAGAAAGGAATTATTTTACTACTATGAATTAAGTAAAAATGTTCAACGCACATTCTAATGAAAATGTTTCCACGCAAGACAATTATAATAACAGAAATAAAGTAAATGTCTTTATATCTTTGCTTTCGTTGTTATTGCAATTGCAGATGTTGTGTGTCTAGCATGTATTGAGGATTGTTACACTAGTGAAGCCTTGATCAACTCAGAAATCTCTATGGCAACATCTCCTATTTCTGCCTAGTCGTTGTCTTAATTATCGACATCGATTTTTTCTTCCCCTTAGATTATACCTCGTGGTGACTAAATCACTACCTTATCTTAGGCTAAATCAACACGTTCATTATTTAATTCAGTAATTAATTATCTAAAAAAATAAATTACTGATTTTCAGGTTAGCAACGTTAGTTCCTATTCGCATATGTGAAATATCGACTTGTTCTTTGAGTAATGGCCAAGGATGTCAAATGTGGTACTTGACAAGGAAAGCAATAAATTTCAATGAATTGAAAAACATTTGGCAGCGATTACAAAGTGACAACTGGTAGTAAGGTTTCCTAAAATTAGTTTTCTTGTGTTATAAAGAAAAACCATTTTACCATTTTCTCCATAAATGGGAATTTCTTTAAACCAAGTAAAACTAACATGATCATTTAAAATGGTGAATTGCCTAATTAGAGATGAAGTTAGGCATAGTACACACATACGGTTAATTCTACTCATTAACTAGGTGGTAGAAAGTTAATTTGCCAAATCAGGGATAAATTGAGTTGAACATTTCTTTAATCGCTTAGTCGACCTTATCACTCCAATATACTTGATCACTCGTGTCCAAGACATCTGCTTCTACTGATGCCAATTCCTAGTTTTAAACTTCTACCATTTTGCAAACTCATTGAACTACCATTGGATGTGGTAAATTGAGGTTGAATTGGATGAAATCACGTTTTAACCTAAAATCGTCTACCTCTGGAGTCGGGAAGTGTTGACTATCTTGCTTAATGAATTACAGTAGGCATACATTTAAAGTTAGGTTTTAATCGCAAGAGCGGTTTGATGAGAGGTTGGATGATCGTAGTCAATATTAACTGGAACTTGTAAAACTCCACTATTGGCCGAATACTCGTCAATCCACAGCACGACAAGAGGGTCGTTGAAGAGACAAAATCCTCATAATCAAGCCTATTGATTGTCAGGAAGATATAAGAAATTTCATCATTGATCATTTTATCATCCGTTTAAAACGCTGTTTGCGGCCTCTTAAATCGAAAGGTCGTATCAAAGGAGGGGATTGATGATGTGTGTGTAGCTCTCAGTATAAGATATGTTGGGGAGACGAAAGGGGGTTGTGAAATTAAGAGACTCTGGAGTGGAAATCAGCCTTCACAGTGCCTTGGCCAACAAGGCGTCATTCATTTTGTATTGTACTGATTAAGATTTGTCTAAGTCGCGAAAAATACACTGTGACGTGCACTATATCACGTTATCCTCGAAATTGTTGAGGTGACTTGGCTGTTTTCGAGAACATTTTTGCTATTGGGAATTTCGGCTCAGATGTAGATTTGGCTACTGTTTGTAGTACGAACACAGTGATCGATTTGGCACTCACCCCACAGATTACAACTGTGACAACACTCTGGAGTTTTACACTTTCAAGTACTCAACAGAAACAGAGAATCTTAGCAATCTCGAGTGAACCAAGTATTCAATGACCCCCGATACCGATGTATCCTTTTTTGCTCTTCATAGAGGTGATTTGTTCTTACTAGTACACTTGAATGAAGATTAAGGAAGCATACATTTTTTAATTGGTAACCTAAATTTGCACAGATTTGTTTCAATTAATTGGAGACCTACAGCTCAAAATGTACATTTCCGAACAATGGATTGCACTAACTTTTCGTAACCCCCCTTCAGGAAATAACTTCGATATGTGACTCACTTGCATGTCCCAACATTGGATCCTGCTAAGTCATGCGTAAGCCAATAATAATAATAATAATAAGCCACGACTTATGCTCAGTTAGTTCTATATCTTACTCTCCATGTTTGGAAACGCTCCCAATACCAGCCTATCTGACAAAATACCAATGAGGGAACTGACGTATAGAGAAGATCATTAATAAGGGAAGTGTGTCACAGGTAGGGAGCTTAGTCAGTTTTTTGCTGAATCAATTATGCTCTCTTAATTGGTGGTTGAATGGGTGTTTTCTCCACTCTCACATAGACAGTGTGGGGGTCCTGAAATTACTCCACTGGGAAATTCGTTTGGATTGTCATTACATTTGTCGATAACCACGTGAAAGATCGTTTGCTGAGTTACGACGTTCCAGATCTCTTCAAATGTAAATTGAACTGGCATTGAAGGTACTCTGACTAGCATTGAACTGTGTCCCACTTTGAGATATTTATTTCAAATGGCAGCCGTTTTGATAGTTATCATTTCAAATAAAAGTCATCTGAGCAAAGCGACCTTCCCATTTCTAATTTCAAGGGAAAATGAGTGTTACGGAATTCCATATTAGCGTCAATTTGTCCTAAGTCAGAAAATGCACTCAGTTTATTTCCGATAATGTGGCAATTAGATAATATGGACAGCTCATAACTAATGCCTCCGCACATTACTAGCTACACCACTCGTGGAAGAATCAAAGGGAAATAGAATTTAGTGAGTAAACTGGCTTCTGATTTGGGCCAATAGCCTTCAGTGGTATTTTGCACACCTATTGTTTTCTAGCCATTAACCAATCAAAATGAAAGTGAGAGTGAATTTACAGGAAGTATTCAAATTCTCAACTCTTTTCGACGACAAAGCAAGAGTGCCCACTGAGATGCCGAATTATTTAGAATCGGGGTTAGGAAATGGTCAGATCAGGATTTTGAACTTTAATTTCACTAACAATAAGCCACCAAACTTCTCTGAATATCTTTAAACTTGTTTGTAAGAATTACTCCGAATGTAGGACTGTTCGATGAGATGAATGAACTTCATATCAAAGGAACTCAGCTTCAGATTTAAAAGTGAATCGAATGTTCAATTCAACCCATCATGCCCGTGTTACCTGCATCCAAAACGTTGTAAGTTCTGTGCGATCCCGCAACTGCCAAAGTAAATAACTGAAGGAGAAATGGCTCCATCAAGAAGATATTACGTTTTAAAGATTGTAAAAAAATGTCAGAAGGCAGAAAATGGCAAGAATAAAGACACACGGAGATATCTCATCAATAGATTTTTGAGAGAGAAATGGTAAAATCATAATATAATACAACACCATAAAAATTTAGAGCCATCGCTTGTCCCACAATTCATGTTCTGACCTTCTAATTGTTCTGCTCACGGTTCCGTGGTTAGCATAAAGGAGTTTTATTAAGTAGCCATATGGATACCAACTGATTGGGATTTTCGGTACACTCGTGTTAATTTTCACACACTCATCTCACTTGAGATACCGTACTCACCAAACCCCACGAACTTGATTACCAATACTAATGCATGTCCACATTTGAAATGTTAAACGTTGGCATAATCTGTAGAGATTAGATTTTCTGGTCACGCATATTAAACTAGGTAATTTTGACCATATCTCGTTCTCAAACATGCCTCAAAAGTCATTGGTGCCTTATTTGCCTGCCAGGCCATACTTTTGTAAATTCTAGTGCAAACGAAGTGGGAATATTGCTATTTAGTGAAAGAGAATTTGATGAAATTCACCAACTTATAATAAAGCGATAGACTTACCTCCACGTGGTGCACCCTGGGCAACGTATACTCATACGGCAAAAAAGTCTATTAACCGGTAGTTGAATTCTGACTTCAAACTACCAAGACCCCACTGAATTTCATATTCGAATAATAATCACAGTACTCACCTCACCTTTTTCTACCTTTGTGTCTTTCTGTCTCCTTTACGTCTGTGAATCATTATTCTGTCCTCCGCCTGACGTTTTACCACTTTGATGTTTATCCCCCTCCATCTCGAAATTTTTCACTTTGATGTTCCTTCCAGCTCTCGACTTTTTGCCACTTTGGTGTTCCTCTTCCTTTCTCTGAAGCCTGAAGTCAACTAAAGGGCTAATGATAAATATCAGGACTTTTTACCACTTGGATGTTTATCTTCCTTTCTGTGAACTTTTTGCCACTTTGGTGTTCCTCTTCCTTTTTGTGAAGCAGGGCGCCGGAACTAAAGGGCTAATGATACCTATCATAACGCCTGCCATTTGAAATAAATAAATAATAAAGCGTAAATCAGAAAGCAGTCAGTAAATGACAAGAGGTCAGTTGTCATAAACCGATCAAAGTGAATTCAATAATCAATACCCACCATCGTATTAGTGTAGAGCTAAAAGTCACCTTATTCAATGCGCAACAAAAGCAACATATTGTTGTGGTATGCATCACAAGTATTGACAGCGAAATGACCTTTGACCAAGTTATGGTATGGAAGTGAAGGAAATGCGAATTTGGGATGAAGCAGTTTGTATTTGGGCAAACTACTGCATTTTAGCACATACATGGGTGATCCTTAATCCCTGGCGTAATGTTCAATGCATTCGAGGAAGTGCTTGTGACAGTCAGTTTCGCCTTCATCCACACACTTCTTCTCCTCAATCATGCAGTCGTTGTAGAGGAAATCACGAACGAAGAACTGGCATTTCTCCACCTCGTGTTCACATTCCTCTTTGCCGTGGATTTCACAAAGCTCCTCACACTCCTCAAAATGCTCCTCATACTTCTTCAAGTGCTCGTCGGCGTTGGCGCAAGTCAAGGCCACCAGACCGACGAGGAAGAAGACAAATGCAGTGAACACAACAGGACGTCTGGAGAACATAGTGATTCGAGTGCTTTCAGATCCTACTTGAACTCAATCTTCCGTCCTCCTCTTATTTATGTCTCGTGCCAACCACAAGAAGCCAATCAAATCACTAGTACTTGTTGCCTGAACTTTAACAACAATCGAGGTGTCCTTTTAGGATTTGGGATAGGAATTCAATTTCAATCCCCAACTTGAATTCAAAAAAATTAAAAGAATTCAGAGTGAAATGTGGATGGGATCTTTCTGATTGTCATTTCGCTATTGTTTCATTCGTCAAAATGTCATTTGATAAATTGGCTGTGGCCGAGAAATAAACCGTGAATACAGAAGTCTCCACTGAAGAAGAAATTGATTCTTTTGTTGGTCAAGAAAATGTTGTGGATCGTGATTTCAATAGTGGGTGTTGTGGATTAGGTCATTGGTGTGTTACTGGCAGAATCTCGTTGTGCCTGCCTGTTAGCAATGCTTCATGTAGCCTGTTCTAAAACTATGCGTGCCCCAACATTCAAAGGCTTGTTATTGGTGAGCTGGAGGGAGATATTCACCTTCTTGGTCACATTCCCTGTTTAAATGGATTCTTTGTGCATTTACTGTCAATCGCGATTACTGTTTGCTTGAGAATGCAACATGAGATGGATACTTAAAATGAAACAGAAGGTCAACGTATGCAATTGGGGTAAGTAGGAATTTGGTTGAACTAGGCACTATGTCTATGACCTATGAAAAATTGTTATCAAATTTGACCTCGATATCGATTGTCTGTTGAAGTGTCCATTTCAAACGTTCGTGCGCCTTTTGTTAACATTAGTCCAAGTGGTTATGTACACCTTCACCTCTATCTCCAACTCTCCCTCCCTCTGAATCAATCACAACATTGTACACTCATGTATAGAACCATTCGCATTAATGTCTCTTCGCCTCAATTTCTAAGCAGAAGGAACATGTTCTTATCAATATTTGTAAGTCTATCCTGGAGCATCATTTATGAGTATTGCGAAGTCTATCGGGCGGTATGTGTGTTAGAGAAAGTATATAAGCCGTTGTGCTAAAATAATTTGATGAACGGTGGAGGAATCCCAAATTGATGGTAGAGCAATTCTAGATACCGAATTGTCTATTTCTAACAAAATAGCACAGTTCTACAGGCAATGAGAAAGATTGGAATTTTGAATAGCGGTTTTGGAAGTAGTTCTTAAGTGAGTTCTTCTCTTGCAATGATTTGTCCCTTTCTGTTGTTTCACCTCAAGTATATTTGACATTGAGAAGACACAAGTAATGAGAGTAGAAGTTTGGAAGGGCAAACTAGTGAGAGACGGCTTTGAATGAGATAGTTTGGGGGTATTAGAGTGTTAGGTGGAGAATGGAAGGGCAAGGGAAAAGTGGTTGGAATAGTGTTTGAATGGTGTTGAAAGGAAGACGGAGTAGTGAGAAGCCAATAGTGGATAACTTCACCCAACTGCTCAGTGTCGACTTCAGTGGGGTGTGCGATAGACTTACCTCCACGTGGTGCACGCTGGGAAACTTATACTCATACGGCTGAAAAGTCTATTAAGCGGCAGTTGACTTCTGACATCAAACTACCATGGCCCGACTGATTGTCATATTCGACCCCTAACACAGTACTCAACTTACCTTTTCCTCTACGTTTATGTTTGTCTGCCTCTTTTGCATCTGTGAATCGCTCTTTTGTTCCCCATCCCTCGACTTTCTTCTACTTTGATGAACTATCCCTCTGTGAAGCCCGTAGTCAGCTATCAAAACGCCTGCCATTTGATATAAATAAATATTAATGCTATTATTATACATGAAAATAGTGAGTAGTGAGAAGCGAAAATTGGGTAACTTCACCAAACTGTTCAGTGTCGACTTCAGTGGCATACTGGACAGGTGAGGTCACACATCATGGCCACCCTCTATAAAGCTCTGTCATCATTGACTACTCACAATTTGCCTTACTTCCTTTCACACCTAAATGACCTCGTTGTCTGCTTGCAGGTTTGTGAGTCGGTGTGGGCAGACACACAGCTCTGCTGACTTCAGTCGCGTTTGTCCGCATCGAATATCAGAGCTCTTNTCATACGGCTGAAAAGTCTATTAAGCGGCAGTTGACTTCTGACATCAAACTACCATGGCCCGACTGATTGTCATATTCGACCCCTAACACAGTACTCAACTTACCTTTTCCTCTACGTTTATGTTTGTCTGCCTCTTTTGCATCTGTGAATCGCTNTGCAATAAGTACATAGAGATTTGAACTAATCCTCTTCAACTTGATTCGCCAACTGTTAAAGTACTAGTGAAGTATGATGTGGCAAACAGGTATAAATAGGCCTCGACACAATGCTCTGCCAACAAGTGAAGTTCGAGTTCACAATGAAGAAGACGTCGACTCTCCTCCTTCTCTACCTCTTCGGAGTTCTTGCTGTCATGGCACTTTGTGCATCCACAGTGGTGGCAGCCCCCCACAAGTCGGGCAGTCCAAATGCGAAGAAGGTGCATGAGGCGGCCCAAAAGGCGCATGAGGAGATGATGGCCCATGAGGAGATGATGGGCAAAAGCATGCATACTTCGATGGAAGGGCACTTCAATATGCCAATGCATACAAAGAATTCGGACGTGGCAGTGGGAAAGAAAAACCATGAGGTGAAGAAGGAACATGAGGCGAATGGGGAGCATGAGAAGGAGCATTCCAATATTCCAATGCATGCAAGGAAGTCGGACATGCCAGTGGGGAAGAAGGGCCATCAGGCGAAAATGGTACATGAGGCGGCCCAAAAGGCGCATGAGGAAATGATGGCCCATGAGGAGATGAAAGGCAAAAGCATGGATAATTCGAAGGAATTTCTCACAAATATGGTGATGAATGCAATCAAGTCTAACGTTTTAGAGGGGAAGAAGGGCAATGGGGCGGAGGAAGAACACGAGGTGAAGAAGGAACATGAGGCGAATGAGGAGCATGAGAAGAAGCATTCAAATAAGCCAATGCACCCAAAGAGACCAGATGGCCCACATGCGAAGGAGGCCTATGAAGCGAGACTTGAAAAGTGCAAGCAATCACCGAAGGTGGAGCATTGTAAGATGCTGGCTCGTTTCTTTGTCTACCACGACTGCATGGACGCCGAGGAGTCCTGTGCCTTCGACCATGGCAAAGATGGCTGTATGGAGAGTACTCTCGAGTGCATTGAGAATGTAGTTGGCACCGACTAGATATTTGAATATCTAATCTCAGTCCACTGACTTAATAAATTCCATCTTCCACCATCTTTGCTTACTATTGTTCAATTAAAATTGATTTTATTTCAGAGACTGAGCCATTGCAATTATAACGTATAGTAGTTATTGGTATGTGCACATGGATGGAAATTAATATTTAACTTATTCCAGTCTGCATTGAGCATTATCACTCCCATCTGGAAAATATGAATTCCTAGTGAAAGAGGAGAAGGTTAAATAAGAGGCCAAAGGAGCACCAATTGAGTGAGATATTTTGGTACTCTTGGGCTCCTTCTCCCACTTCTTATCGAATCTCTCCATTAGGCACTTTTCGTCACCTGCTTCGCCTATTACATTTGTGCCTTCTTCGTTATATTACTAACTCATGTTTACGTTTGAAGTGTTTTGCATCGAATTGAATAAAACTGAATTTTGTTGCATTTTTTTGACCAAATATCGAAAAAAGAGTTCATGGTCGAAATATGCGTACTTTTGAATTTTTGGCCATTCTTTTTAAATAGGGAATTGGGTCACTTTAAAACTGAGTTCATCAACTATTGTCATTGATTTCTTCGAGATTTTTTTGATCTTTCCTCAAATTCTCTGTCTATGTCCTCGTCCGTTGAACTATGATTTTGCTTCAAATTACTCTCTGATGGTTCAATCGACTGCGTCACTGCAGCAAAAGGTATAGGCAGTGCCAACTCAAAGATGTCATCTGGTTCGTGAATACCCTCATCAGCGACATCGGCAAATTCCATGCAAAAGTATGTATATATTTCAAATGGCAGGTTTTATGATATTTATCATTAGCCCTTAATCTTCGACTTCAGCTTCCCCCAAGAGGGGGGGGGTACATTTATAGCAGTTAATTAATAGAAGTTCATTAGCGGTCTTCTTGCTTCCCAGTATCTTTGGCTTTCCGTCCTTGTCTTTAAGGCTGGACACCGAATCAGGTGGGTCTTATCCATTTCCTCCTGTAGGTTACATAGAGTGCATGCGGATTGAGTGTATACTCCAAATCCGTAAAGCTGTTTTGCCAATCAATCGTGTCCGGTACGTTGTCTAAACTCAGCAAAAATTTCGATTCTTGGCCAGTCGGGTATGTCGGAGAGTGCCAC